AGCAACGCGTACGAAGGGGTGGGAAGTTGTAATCATTTCTAAAACCGTGTTCATTCTGACGCTTTGGTATTGGAAGAAGTGCGAGCGTCGCATTTTTTACTTTCCAACGCAAAGCCAAACATGTCGGCTAATTGGTATTAGTCGGATGTTTGGGGGGCAATTGTAGAGGCCGAATAAAATCAATTAGGAAGAGGCCAAGGAATTTGATCGACATCCGGCCAAAGTAATTCGGCCTTGACCAAGGGCTGATAAAGCCGAATAAACGAATCGGCCGTATAAAGAGCCGAACAGGAACCAACACTTAACAAGAAGGCCGACTAGGTAACTATGTGCGAGATCAAGAGTGGGCCAGTCCCTCGGGCCCAGAGGTAGTATAAAAAGGGAGGAATGTCAACTAAAGCAGGCATGTGAGAATAAATAAGATAACTTGAAATAGAAGTAAGCTAGAGAGAATACGGATTTGACCGTCGGAGTGCTAATTCTGGCACCCTCGACTGGAGTGTTCATTTCCTTTTTTAAGTAGCGATCAAAGGATCAGGGACGTCTGAACGGACTCTGGAGTATTTCCAAACCACTTTACCACACTTTAACATCCGTTTACATGAATAACGGGAAAAATATTTTATCCTTGGATAAAATATTATTTTGGTTCTTAAAGTATGAGTTTCTTGTCATTTTAGTTCCCGAAGTTTTAAATTTTGTCATTTTAGTCCTCAATGTTGTCAATTTGAGATATCACATTGACTCAAATTAATAACTTTGAGGACCAAAATAACAAAATTTTAAATTTGAGGGACTAAAATGACAATAAACATATACTTTATGGACCACAATTGTCTTTTATCCATATTTTTGTTATTAACGTAGACGAACATTAGACCTAAGACCAAATTGACTTAAATTGATAACTTTGAAAACCAAAATGATAAAATTGAAACTTAAGAAACTAAAATAAAATAAAATAAAAATAACGCATACTTTAGGAATTAAAACGGCCTTCTATTCTTTAGTTTTTTTAAGTTTGTCAATTTGATACCTAAAGTATAAAATGTGATTTTAAATGATCCCACAATTCACAGTGTCCACATTAATTAACTGGAGCTAGAATATTTTCAAAATTTCGCATAAAAGCTTAACAAAATTAAAAATGAAATACATATATGATTCTCAAAGTATATACTTGATTGTATTTTGCTCCCTAACCAAAACGATTAAATACAAGCATAGTGAGCGCTCTGTTAAATTTTCCCCTTTGATTTTCAATCTTTTCATTTGGTTAGATTTTTTTTAAGGCAAATTTTTATATTAAAAGTGTTTTTAATTGTTGAAATTAAATGAACAATTTATAAACAAATGCATAAGTATGAGATTCATCAACTATCTTTTTTTTTTTTTTTGAACGGCAAAGATAAGGACTTCATTGATGAAAAAGTAGTACAAAGTACCAAACAATTACACCAATAAAGAGTAAAAGAGGAGGGGTAAGTTGGTGAGGAACCAACGAAACCAGCAAAACAGATCGAACACCAGCAATAGCAGAATTAGTTGATGTTAACTTATCAAGTTAAGCAACTTTACAATTGTGTTTAAAAGTATGACACATATAGCTCTTGAGTGCATTTTTCATAAAAAATAAATAAACAAATAAATAAATAATAAAAAATATTTTAACAATTGTAATCAATTAGATCAAATTAAGATAAGTCATAAATTGAAGATTAAAGTCGAACTAATTGAAATTATAAAAACTAAATGATACAAAGATTAAAATATAGAAATTATTAGTATAATTTCTCTATTTTTTTAATGAAGTCTAAATAATAACTCACTTCCCATTTAACTATTTTTGATAGTGTGAGTGGGACGGACTATTTAACTCACATTTTGTAATATGGGGATCAAAATTGACAAAATCAAAGATTAGCAATTAAAATGCGATAAAACTCATAGTTTAGGAATTATTGGTAGAAGATATATAATTTACAAATATTATTAGAATCACATTAAAATCAAAGGCAACTATGTAAGAAAGTCAACCACACACAATAACAAACATACAATAAGCCCAATCAACTGGGTGTCACTAAATCATGTGTTAGCCGAGTATAGGCAAGCCTAATCCAAATATTAGTAAAGACTAAATGAGAATATGGTTTGTTCCATACTATCGTCTAAGAATTATATGGTTGCAGACTTAAAAGGGCTTTTGTTATACATTTTGGGAGGTGATTATAATTTATTTTAATTTGAAATTTCGTGTTAGACTATTTGATGCAATTTCTGCTTATAGCTTGTTAGATAAAAATAGTTTAAATAAGCTAAAAAACTTGATTATTTGGAAGTTGAGAAAATGATGCTTTTAGTTTTTCCATTCTAATTATCAACTTGTAATTTTAAAAAAAATTCCACCAAACATAGAAAGGACTTATAATATCTGAAGTACACATTTCATGTCACTTCAGTATTTTGAGTTTTAATATTGTCAAATTCGATTGTAAAGTCTTCAATGTGTCAAATTTATCCAATTTTTAATGATAATAAAATACCCCTACCGTCCATATAGTGTGTTATGTGACTTGGATTCCTAAACAATGACGGAAGAAGACGAAGCATATATTGCCTTACAGTGTTTAGTAGTGGCGGAAAAATATCCAATTGGGTCGGGTTAGGATTCAACCTAAGTTAAGAAATACAAAAATATCTCTTGCCCAAGATCGATCCTATACATAAAAATCTCTCACAAGCCTGTCCCTGAAATAGTATTACAACCCTAAGTCCATCCAAGAAACCCATTTATTAAATAAAAAAATATATTATAAAATTAAAATTAATAATTTGTAATTTTGACACAAAAAACTTAATATTTTGTCATTACATTTTAATTATAGATTTAGTAAAATATGTTTTCCATCTCTTAAGTAAATCTTTTCTTTATATAAAAATAAATAAAAACTAAGTAAATTATATGTATGTATATACTGGGTCATGCTAAAAATTAGAATACATATCCTCAAAACGATTATATATCACATACGAGTTATGATATTTGTAGTATTAATTATCACAAATATCATAATTAGATTCTTTTTGAGCCATAACTATAAAATAATAAAAAATGAGTTGTAACCAAAAACAAGATAAGGTATAGCTGAAGACTTTTTGGATTATAACCATAATAATAATAATAATATGCCAAAACCAATATTACAACGAGTCATAACTAACATCACAATTAATCATAACCAAGTTATAAATAAAACCAGAATGTCATAACCAAAAGCCACAAATATCATAATTGGGACATGATACACTCCAAAAGAGTGTGGGTATTATAAAACTTTCCTATATATTTAAGAGAATAACTTATTTACGGCTGTTTCGTAAACTAAACAGTTTATGGGTAGCCAATCATAATGTTGCACGTCAATTATAATAGCGCTCCACGTGTATTGTGATTAGTGGAAGAGATCAATTTTACGATTTTTTGGGTGAATAATCAACTTTACGATTTTATGTTAGGTTATTAAAAAATATAAGGGGTATGGGAGTTTGTGATTCATGCGTGCCCTAACTAACTAATAATTTTTTGTTTACCTGACCTCACCTCTGTACCTTCTCATTTATCCCGTCTCTCGCTCTCTCTAGCGAATTAAGCCATGGTGAGTTTGATACTGGTAATGGAGGGTTTGGGTTTGGGTTTAGGCTTAGGATAACCAGTGATGAATGATTTGTCAATTTGAGGAAGAATATAAATCAATAATTGATACAATGATGAATGATCAGTGAGTGTATGTTTGGGTTTGGGTTTGGGTTTGGGATCCAACAAGGTAGTCTGTTGGTGGCAATAATGGCGGGTTTGGGGTAGTGGTGTGGGTTTAGATTTGGTGTTGATGAACGGTTTGGCGTGGTGGTGTTGGATCTCCGGCGGTGATGGTGGTTGGGGTAGAGCTAAGGCGGAGAGAGGGGATGTACGTAGATGGTGATGGATAAGGAAAAGAGAAAGGTAGGGAGATGAACCAGTGTAAGCGAGTGTATGTTTGTTCATCAAATTTTCTCTTCTTGAGATATTGAAAGCTAATGTGGCAATCAATAATTGGTTGTCCGTAAACTATCATCTTTATGGGACAGCCGTGTATAAGGCAGCCTCATATACTAATGCAAGTAGCATTCCTAAGTCCGACCGATTTAATAAACGAAACTAAAAAGTCAATCCAGCCTAGCCTTATGAGCCTATATATCAATCGCAAACCCTTGAAAAAGCATACTGGAATGGAATGGGTGACCGGCAAGCCGGTGATTACACTTAATGTTTATGGAAGAAATTGATAAAATTAAAATTTTGAAGATCAAAGTGACACAAAACAGATATTTTAGGAACTATATATGCAATTTAAATGGTAAATTTGAAATTGGACCAATTTAATTCAAATATGAAAGTTTAGAGACAAAATTGACACAAAAAATATACTTAGAAAACCAAAGTGACATAAAACACACGTATTTTTAAGAATGATAACAAAACCAAAAACAAAGAACAAAAATTACAAAAACAAAGGGCATAACAATTTAAGATGAAAAACAATCATTATTCAATTGAATTTACATTTACAGTTGCTGACAGTTGTATTATGTACAATTAGTATGAACCCCGCTATCACCTTGGCATAGTCATCTAATTCTCAACAGGTTTGGCACTGTCCTCTAATTCTTAATTGGTTTGGATTGTTTATAGCATATATATATATATATATGTATATATCAGTGAAAGTCAGTTATTAGTTCTTAACTGGTTTGGATTACTTTCTTTCACAGTTTGCTGTAAATTACAAGCAACTGATACTCAAAAAATGGTTCAAAAGATGGTTGAAATTCTGCAGTAGCTACAACTAACTGCACACAAAACTTGATTATAAACTTACTTCATTCTAATTGTAGTGCCATATGTCAAGCACATTCGAGAGATAAAATCAATGCATGATCGCACAAAATTGTTTGTGAGAATGTTTTGCCGGAAACTTCAGGATAGTCAAGAACTTCAGGATAGTCGAGAACATTCGTCAATCTTTAAAAATGCCTTTCTATTAGGGGCAAAAAATGGGATTCAAGAAATAGTAGAAGAGATCTTGGTGGTATTTCCGGATGCAATTTCTTGTGTAGACAAAGAGAAGCATTCTGCTCTCCATCTTGCAGTCATGTACCGTCGTGAACATGTTTTCAATTTCATTATTCAACAAATGGGAGTGCGTAAAAAGTTATTGTTGAAAGTAGACAAAGGAGGCAACAATATCTTGCACGTGGTTGGACGAATGCCATATCAGCCACAACTTGAAGTTGTTTCTGGTGCAGTTTTACAAATGCAGCGTGAATTGCAGTGGTACAAGGTAATACATTTGTTTTGTGTCTTGGCAAAAAGTGCTCGAATTTATATTACATCTTGATTTTTTTTATTTTTTATTTTTTCTTGAATTCCCTACAAACAAGAGTTGTTATTTATCTCCAACTATTTGACAAAAGAAAATGACAAAATGAGGAAAAAAAACTATAGGGAAGCTCAAGATATAACAAATAATAAATTATTGATTTTTAGCGAAATAAAGGATATGGAACCAAATTTGTCTAGCTTTTATGGGGATACAAAGAATCATAGAAGCATGCGATTATTCTGTTTCATTATTTGTCATTTGCTTTTATAGAATTCCGTCAACTATTTTAGCTTTCAGTACGTAGTAATGTTACATGCATAGGAAAGTATAAATACTTGTGCTCCGAATAAATCTGAACATTTTTTGTGCACTTTTTAATGATATTTTTCTGTGCATGCATGACTATTATTTATAGGGATGCACCATGAACTTGCTTTCTCATTCCAAACTAACTTGATGGCGTAGGAAGTAGAAAAGCTTGTGTCGGTGCAGGCAACAACAACAATGAACCGTGGTAAACAGACACCTATGATGGTATTTGAAGAGAACCATCGTCGTATGATCCAATCTGAAGAGCAATGGATTGTAAGCCTGGCAAGTGCATGCATTGTTTCAACAACAATCATTGGCACAATAGCATTTTCGGCAGCCATTCAAGTGCCAGGGGGAAGCGATGGTGAAGGCCACACAATCTTATATGAGAAAATGGACTTCACAATATTTGCCATATCAAATGCAGTCGCTCTATACTCGGCCATCTCCACATTCTTAATCTTTTTATCCATTTTCACTACACGCTATGCAGCAATTGATTTTCTATATTCCCTGCCTAATAGATTAATAATTGGACTGACTTCCCTATTTGTCTCTATAACATCCACTATTATAGCTTTCAGTTCTGCCCTATATGTCATCTTTGTCCAAGAAAACAAATCTTTGATTCTTCCTCCAGTGGTCATAATGTCCTTTGGACTAGTGACTCTGTTTGCTTTCTTACAATTTCCCCTCCTCCTAAATATGATGAAAACCACATATGGCCAGAGCATGTTCAAGCTTTCAGATGGAAGAAATAGTCGAAAAGGCATAAGATTTTAAGCTTCCTTACATGTTCGTTGTATCAAAATTGAAATGCAACATTGCTCATTTCATCGATGCCATAGCGGAATATGCAAGATGAATAAAACTCTCCATTTTCTCTCTCTGTAATATTAAATGTGTGCTTGTGGGTAATAGTTGTAAGCACTCTAATTGAGTGGTTAGTGAATGTGATTACTGCTAAACTGTCTCTAATGTATCAAGTCTTAAGTTGTGTTCGGCGGTGGGTTGCTTTAGTTTGTTATTGGAGCATTCTCGTACAAGCATTTTGTTACATTACAGCAATAGCCTCTTACGTGTGCTGAAATCTAACCCATGCCACAACCTTGGCCAATATTATCATGCCACATGGCGCCTTGACCCGAAGTCATACCACGTACCCAAAATCTTGGACCCACATGGTCTTACTAAAAAATACATCTCTACAACTGTCCCTGAGTTCTCCTTGCACTTGAGAACTTTAGAGGAATGCAAATTCTTCATTTTGACTGAACTCAACCACTTCGAAAACACAGTTATCTTCATGATTTGCCCCTAACAGAGGTCGTTTTCCTTCATCTTTTGAATTCTCATGCCCTTCAACGTGAGTATGTCATGATACCATGCTCCCTAATGTGAACATTACTCCAGTCAATGCCCTTAACTCAAGAACCTAACTCCATTCTGTGTCAATTCAGCTTGTCCGAATATTGAGCATCCTTACATTCCTTCCAATGCACTGAAACATAGTATTCGTTAACTCGGTTTGACTTTTGCCGTTTACTTAAAAACATCACTTGCCATCAAGATCTTCTAACCTCGGGTGGACTCTACTCATCTCAGCTCTGCTCACCTTAGGTGAGCTCTTCTCTTCTCAGTTCTTCTCACCTAGGGTGAGCTCTTCTCATATTGAATCTGCTTACCTATCAAGTGAGTTCTTCTCTGCAACCTTCTTTGCATGTTCTTTGACATCAACATCATCATTACTTCTGTTCTTCTCTCTTGGGGACTAGTTCCCCATCGTGAAGTTTTTTTTGCATCATCATTGACTTTTTTTCTCTTGTTCTTCTTGATCTCCTTGGCATCCATCTTTTCTTCGTTTCCCACAAACACCCAAATTGTGTGAGTTAAAATCTGACCACACAACCAAATTTGAGAAGATTACCTCTCCGGAATATTTGGAAACGTGGTAATTGGTATTTGAGAGATTAATCTGCTGAGAATCCACAAGATAGAATTGTCAGTGTCCCGTCTAGCCTGAGACTAAGTCAATGACTTTCTCTCTCCAGAGAATATTCAATAGTACAAATACTGAAAATTATAATCAATTACTAGAGCATACGTATCTCAACCCATAAGGTTGTGCTCTTTATATAGGAGTGACCTGCCTAATCTTAGGATTCATTTTTCATCTAGGACTCCATTTGCTTAGCAAATGTTTCTTATCTAGAACTCCTCTTTCTACTTAGGTTGGGTTTAATCTTTTCAAAAGTCTCATTCTTACTCAACTTAGGAGTCACATCCCTATTGAGATTTTACAACCTAGGAGTCATACTCTAATTGGGGTTTGACCAATACCACAATCTCGGCCAATATTATCACGCCACATGGCACCTTGATTCGAGGTCATATGCCACATATCCAAGATTCTAGACCCATGTGGTCCTACTCAAAATTACATCCCCAAACCTCCTAAGTTAGAAGGCTTCCCCTTTGTTTTTGGACACAATCTCAATTGTTGAAATAAATATTTATAATAGTGATATCACTACTCACACGGTCGTAAATTTTAAATGGTAAGGGTAGTGGGAAACAATGATCGTATAAATTTATATTGGCAAATGGCACTGCATAATATGATATTACCGTTGCAATCAATATGTGTTCGGATTGTTGGTATCATGGACCAATTTCGAATAATACTAGTTTTCTTCCTATGCTATTTGAAACTTTCTTTATATAAATGTGGCATAATTATATAGTGAAAATATAAAAATACATTTAAGTAAAAATAGGAAGAAAAAAAATTTGTAAAAGAATAAAAACCTATAAAACTAATTTAAAAAAATATTTTTAATTCAAAAAGAAGTTAAGAAAAAAATAATAATTTTGATGAGTAACTATACAAATTTAAGTAAACACATCAAAATATTCAGTACCACTTTAAGATATAATTTTTTTTTTTGTTTTTTTTTGCAAATTGCTTTAAAAATTAGATGTTAGACACAATTAACTTGAGTTCGCAATATTGTATTAGCATCATATTCTCTTTTGTAATTGTATTTCAATGGTTAGTTCTGTAATTCAAAGTGATTAGTATAGATTTTGGAAAATTAAATTCATTTTAACAATATTTTGATAACTATTCTTGTTTTCAATCATAATAATTTTGAAAAAAAGAAACCTTTGATCCCATAGAATAATTCGTGCTCTTAAAAACAACAAAACGATCCCATTTAAAAAGGGACAAAACTTCAGTAAATGTTGATCCAATAAGGTTGTCTCATTATCTAATTCAGCTGATTTCTTAATTTATCTAGTTTGATTATACATATATTATGGCATCTTTTGGGAAGTGAATTAAAAGTCACTTTTTAACTTTTAACTCATTTTCGGTCACATCATCTCTCACATTTTTTTACATATTTTTTTCAAAAAAAGTCATAAAATTAACATTTAAATATCTCTCCAAAACACCCTTATATCACTTAGACGTCTCACTTAAAAAATGCCTAAATTTTTCAGTCAAAAACAATCCACTTACTACTTAACACTTAGGCCATGTTTGTTTGGACGGACTGGATTAGCATTCCCATGACTAATAGTCCTAGGACTATAAATTTGTTGGATTATGTATCCTATCTTAACTAATAGTCAAGTTTAAAATAATTAATTCCTACTTCAATTGTTTAACCAAACATCGGATTAATAATTTTATTGGACTATTAGTCCAATCCCAAGCTCATGTCTACCCAAACAAACATGACCTTAATGCGCTCGTTGATTTAGGTTTAGAAAACTTATTTCACTTCCTATTTCGTTCCGAAATAACTCAGAGCATCGTTACCCACCTTTGCTTTTCTCGTCAAAACTATCTCACTGTGTCTTGGCTTTTCTTGTTTGGTTCATAGATTTGAATCTGTTTGGCTTAATTTTAAAATTATAATATGAGTGTGGAATTATATTTTGCGTTTTAAATTTTAAATTTTAAGTTTTTAAATCATGATTTAAAAAGAAAAAATTTGCTTGGATATAAATTTTAAAAATAATTTTGAGATGATTTCTACTTTTTATTTTATTTTATTGATAGAATGTGAGAGGAGAGAGGAGAGATGGGAAAGAAAAAGTGATTTTGATTGACTAATAATAATTTTTAAAGAGAGAGAGAGAGAGAGAGAGAGAGAATAGAGGATGTGGGATATATTTTATGAGTACCAACACGTGGCAAGGTGACGCCGACGTGTCAGCCGAGGTACCACGTGTCTTGGTCGTTGTGCCGAAGTCATCTCGGCTAGGCCGAGGTTGCCTCCGAAGATATCGGAATCCGAGATAAGCGGATAAGGGACAAGAGTCCTAGAATGAAGAGGGAACTCAACTTAGACATGGACAAGAGTCTTAGATTGGGAGAAGACTTCAGTTTGGGTAAAGATAAGACCTAATCTCACTGGGAGTCCCAGATTAACACTAATCCGAGTCTTAGATTGGGAGAAGACTTCAGTTTGGGTAAAGATAAGACTCTTAGAGAGTTTATCCTAATCTCACTGGGAGTCCCAGATTAACACTAATCCTAAGTCCATTAGGGTCAGGCTCCTTTTGGGAGTATTTGATTTATCTTTGAGAGATATACTGACTTGATCGTCGGAGTGCCCCCGGGTGGTCGAAACCACCGCGGGATTCTTATATTTCTGTTGCAGGTCAGTCAGGTGCCATCTATTCTGCCGGTGCTCTCCAGCTGGTTACTAAGCGGGCAGTGTGGTCGGAAAATCACCCACACAATTTGGCGCCGTCTGTGGGAAAGAAAGAAGAATAGATGGCCAATGACGGACAAAAGGATCAGACTGGAGACAACGTTCCTGCTGGGAATGGGAGATCTATCAACCTCGACGTTGAAGGGGACAACCGTAACACAGAAACTCGTAACCAGAGTCACGGAGTGAAAGACGCTGGCCAGGAAGGTGACGCACCAAAGACAACAGATCGAAACGGATACCACAACGAAGATGACCTCCAAATATAGAAGGATAGATACTTGCGGAGGAACGGAGACCCTTTTAGAAGGGATGCAAAGACAGGGGGCATGAGCGCTCCCAAGGAGATAACATTCAAGTATAGAAGAGCTCAACCTGAGTGAGCAAATCCCGGATCCCAGAAGACATGATCTCGGCCTAGATGAGTAGGTCCGAGAAAAGAAGAGCTCAACCTAAGTGAACAGATCCAAGATTCCAGAAGATAAGATCTCGGCACCTGAGTCCGAGAAGAGAAGAGCACAATGAGGAGATCTCAGGTCCCAGAAGATAAAAAGGAAACACACAAGATCAGACTAAAGTTGGCCAGAATTGAGAAGTATGCTAGGGCCGAGGAGGACATGCCGGGAACAAAGGCGTCGGAACAAGAAAAGAAAAACGGCTCGCCGATGCAAGCCTGAAAATCAAAACTCAGGTTGGAGCCAAGTAAGATCAATAGAGAAACCAAGGCCGACAACCTCGGCTTGAACTAAATCTCGGCGACAAGGTCGAAGCTACATGTATGATGAAAACCCAAGTGGATTTTAAGTTCACACTGGGGGGGCAGAGAGAAGAATACGTTTACCACTCGTTGAAATTTGTAGCAATTTACAAGTTGGTTAAACCAATATGATGCTTAACTGAAGTTAAGCCGAGATGATACTTAACCGAAGTTAAGCCGAAATAATGTTTAACCGAAGTTAAACCGAGACGATGCTTAACCAAAGTTAAGCCGAGATGATGCTTAACCGAAGTTAAGCCCAGAAGATGCTTAACCGAAGTTAAGCCGAGATGATA